CAAAAGTTTATTACTATAATTCAAACATGAAACCATTTTTTAAATGGCAGTATGTGTACAATCCTTTTGAAAATGACTAAAATAAAGATGAGATTTTCTGTCCAGTTGCATTTTTCACTAGATTAGCAAATGAACACGGTATGATAACTGTAAATTTTCACACCATGGTAAACCTTGAAACCAGTATATTGCAGCAACTCTACTCATTGTAAAATATACTTCATTCAAACTTGACGTAAACAAAATAAAACTAAAATAATGAACTGGCAAAGTTGGTCTTGTTAGTCATTTATTTTATATTAGCTAGTTCACTGTTCCAACAATCACCAACTGTGGTTTGGGATAGTTCGGATTTTTTGAAGTGGGGTTTGTATGGGTACTTATCCATAATTACTGTATCACATACAGTAAAAGCCCCCAGTTTGGAGAAGCAGACGGGAGTGCTGACACAGAAGTAAAGCAATGTACTTCTGTAGATGGGGCAGCAGCAAAATGTAAAAAAAAGTCCCACCTAAAAAATCTGTAACAGTCTACGTCTAAGCCACAATTTTCATTTTACCTTACCGTCAGACTGCCCATTCAGATGGGGTAGCCATTAATGGCTTCAGTTCCCTATCTATGCTCTTGTCAAAGCCACCAGACTACATTGAAAAAACAGTAATTTTGGCTTGCTGAACACAGGAGCTGCTGGTCTACCGCTGCCTTGATCAGTTGTGTTATTCTGTGACTTTGCTGAATCCAAACTAACCCTTTTAAACACCAAGGTCACCCAATAACACAAACAAAAAATAAGTGATCAAAGCAGTGGTACACCAGCAGCTCCTGTGCTAACAATGTTAAATCTCTGTTTTTTTCAATGGTGTCTGGCTTGGAAGAGTGTGATTTAACGGCTTCAGTTTTCAGTTTACACTTTAACTGATTGGGATTATTTTTAGGTGGGACGTTTTTTTTGGTGGTTAAAATACATTTTGTTGCTGAACCCTCCTCAGCAGAACACTGCTTAGCTTCCGTGTCAGACTCCAGCCTGCTCTTCCAAAGTGGGAACATGCTGACTGACATCTACCGTATTTAATCGCCGACACTGACTATGGATAAGTACCTCATACAACCCCATTTCAAAAGATTCGAACCATCCATTTAATTCATTGCGTAAGATGTTAAAATATGCTGTTTTCCCCCACAATCTCTCTCTGCTGTTGCTAGCAGGCTGTTGACAGTCCTGTAATGTTAACCCATGGATTTATAAAGAGAAGTGGATATAGCGATGGAGGCCGGACCCAGTTCAATCCTTTGAAAGTTTGTCAGTTGCGCATGAAGCCAAAATTGTTCAACTGCCACGTATAAAATTACCCAAGTGATCGACAATCAGATTCTGATAGTAAAACAAGCTGTGATTCTTACAAAAAATGTATCCACTGATTTATATACGTCTCTTTCACAATGTAAATCTATAGGATTAAGTCTTTTTCGACCCAATGGCCTCGCGTGATGGATTAGAAAGTTGTAATTCCACTGTTTACTCACTACAAAAATTGGCTTCAAAGCCAGGCACGCTTCCTGGGGGCCTTTGTTATCCTCACCACTCGCAGTTGCTACTTTTGTCAGCCCAGCTGCCTGTTATACCAGCAGAGAGTGGCCTCTGGTGGTGTGTAACATGCACTATTCTATATACAATACATCTTCAACACAGCCTCTCCATATGAGTTTAATAGAAAGAAGCGTCTGGATTTCTAAAACCCCTGGTATACTGTAAAGCCCCCCAGGCTCACTGCTCTCTTCTGCCAAATCCCTCCTTTTCTCCACAACTGATACAAGCCATACCATACACTGCACAGCCATGGCCCAACTGACCTGTGAGCTAATCAGTATTGCAGTGACGAATGAAGAAACAATGGTTTCTGAGACTGGAGAGAAGTTTTTTTCCCTCCACAAAAGAGTCATTGTTGATTTGACCGATGAGTGGGCCGACTGGAAAAACTGTGTTTGTGGCACAGAGGACGTGGCTGGGTCCAAAGGCTGCAGTGGCATCTCATACTCGTAAACAGGCAGAGAACTGACTCCTCAAGAAAGCAACAGTGTTTGCTTTGCATAACTTGTAGTTTTCGCCATCTTCTTCAACACACATGGTGGTGCTTAAGGATTCAGAGCCATCACTACTCCTGAACCGCAGTACTAACAGACATCATGAACAAACATCATGTCCAGAGTCAGCCGTCAGCAGGCAATAGTAAAAGATAATGAGAGCTGTAACTGACATCATGACAGCCCTTGTATCCAGGTTAAACAACAAATGCTGACAGTGAATTTTACAGCCGGCCCGTGTTCATCCGCCTCCGCTACATGCTGTCATTTTCCCAACGGAGCCCCGACAAACAGCCCCATCAGGCCCAAGAATGTTCCCGCATTGGAAGCAGTGTGGTGCTAATCAAAATGCAAAGCAGATGCAGGGTTCATCGAGCAGTACACTAACATGCGCAGAAACAGTCTGGACGTCATAGAAAATCCCCACTTTGTGTCATAATGAAAGAATTACTGCGTGCAGCAATTTAATACCTTGAGGGCACGGGGGAGTCATGGAGAATTTCTATTTTATTTTGAAAATATGCTAACACAAGTCTCATTTCCATGATTACAGCTGACACTTTATGTGCCCAGCTATTTGTTGAGGAAGCACCGGGGTCTAAGAAGCACTGTAAAGCATGTTATGTGCTCACAGATACTGTATGCCTGTATTGATTTTTCATTAGTTTTTAATTAAGTCCTAAAATATCCTGTCTGCTGTCATACCTGTTTTCATTGATAAGACAAGATGAAATTAGCCTCTTAGGTAATTGAGGTCTGTAACGTTAGGGCAAATGTTTTCATCACTGTATTAATTAATCTGCCACTAAGCCTCATCAGACTCTTTGATTTAACTAAGTCTTTCTAACGGTCGTCCTGTTTATAGTGCCAGGATTATACCCTGCTTCTCTCTCTCTGCACACCAAGTGTACATTACTTCAGTTTTATTTCATCTAAGTTGTCAAACACTTTGAAATAGTTGCTTAATTTATGGTGTTTTTATGTTCTGCAAGAAAACACTCAGTAAACTCCACAGCCTGTACTGAAGAACACAAGTCTGGGAATTTCAGTCTGACCTATTGCTGTGTACACACTGCAGGTTTAAGAGTTCATGCCAGTTCAGTGTTGTTTAGCACAGCACTGATTTGTATCTTCAAGGTGTTTTACATGCGGCTGTTTCTGTAAAGCAGCTTTGCTATGTTTATAAAGACCAGAGGACATTCCAACCCCAAATAAGTCCTCATACGAAGGGTAGGAGTTAAAACAACACTCTTAATGTCATTACTCTGAAGACAGCACATTAGAAAGGATAATTTTGATATGTTTCAACTTGGACCCTGTTTTCCTTTGTTTAAGTGTCTGTGTCTAAGTGACTAATGTGGACAACAGCTTTTGAAATTGGTCCAGTGTTAGTGAGACCGCAAAACAGACTGCAGTGTAACCACCAGGGAATTTGTGCACCGTCAATATACTTCTACTAAAAGCACTTGTTTTGCCATTGACAGTGTCTGAACACATTATTGAAAGGATCCCTAGAGAGATGGACCTTTTTATTAAAGAGTAAGATCCTTTTTGTTTAACCAAAAAACAGCCCTGAAATCACTATCACCAAACCCACCAGACTCCATTTAAGTAAACAGTGACTTTATTATCATAAAACACACTTCATTTAGAGTCGACAGAAATAGAATGAAACTAACAAAAGCCATCTTGGTTTGTCTTTTCACTGGTCCAACAAACACCAACTCCTGTTTGGTTGAAATAAACCCTTAATTCACCCAGATAGATGTGAAAATATGCTGCCTCTATGCACGCTACAATTACTATTTATTTAAATGTCTGGTGAAAGTGGCAATGACGATATTGGGGCTGTTTCTTGTTAAACAAAAATGATCTTACTCTTCAATAAAAAGGTCCATCTCTCTAGGGATCCTTTCAATACTGTTGTCAGACACTCAGAATAATAATCCGAGCCTGACAGTGGCAAAACATGTACTTTTAATTTACGTATATTGAACTTTCTGTCACAGAAGCAGCCCCGAAAACTCCATCGCCAGTTCCAACAGTGTCCATTAAAATAAAGATAATTTCAGCATGTGTAGAGCCAGCATGTTTTTACATCTGTCTGGATAAATTAAGAGTTTACTTCAACTAACCGACCTTCACAGCGGATAAGGAAAAACTCCCCCAAAAAATGTTTAACAGGGGAAATAGATGTAAAGTGATCCATATGACAAAATTATACATAATGCCAATGGCTATTTCGGGGCTGTTTCTGGTTAAACAAAAGGATCTTACTCTTAAAAAAAGGTCTATCTCTGTAGGGATCCTTTCGATAATGCTGTCAGACACTTGGAATAATAATCTGAGCCTGTCAGTGGCAAAAAAAAAGCAATGATAGTGGTTAAAGGACGTAAACTGATGCACAAATGCCCATTAAGGTTACATTGCAGCTTGTTTTCCTGCTGTCGGCTGCAGCAGTCTCACTCCAATACTGGACCAGTTCCAAAAATAGTTGTTCCCATTGGTCACTTAGACACAAAAGGATTGGAAACAAGGGTACAGGTTGAAAATTACCTGTTACCCCTCAAGGCTCAAGCAATAGCACTGAGTTCCTATTAGGTGCAGCTTATTATCAGATGCAGTTGAAAAGACTGGTTACAGCTGATTGCAATCTTTTTTTCTGTGCTTTTGATTTGTTGTAGAGCAACATTTCAAAGCTTGTAAATCCCCTGTAGAAAGAATAAACATTACCTTAACTTCATTATTTAATGTCTCTGATATCAAAGAAGATTAAGTGTTATCATTCTGTCACCCAAAGCCTTAAGTAACCTCATCTTTATCTGTACTAAAATCTTTTTTGATTATGTGGTATCAATCATTTTTTCATCATCACTTTCAACTCATCTATTTACACTTGAATTTTGTCACTCTTTCAGGGATTATGTCTACTGTGATGTCTCAGCAGCCGCCAAAGGAGGATGAAGAGGAGGAAGACGAGGAGCAAGGGGAAGAGTTTTCGTTTGAGGACAGTGCTGATGAAGAGAAACTTAAGGTGGACAGTAAAGGGATCCGCTCTGACTCTGATAGATCTGTCCAGATGTCAAAAAAGGAGGACAGTGAGACATCACAGACAGGCACAGATGGCACACAGCTTCACAGAACTTCGCCTCCTGCTGGACAGGAGGGCGTCATCACCAAGGACGTAACTTCAACTTCTACTGGAGGTAACATATTTTCAGAAATTACATATATATATTAAACTGGTGCCAAATTAATCTTGGGTGTTTACTAGAGATGATAAAGCACTATTTAGGCAGTAAAGAACAATCTGAAAGTGATCAACTTGCACTGATAGACAGTGGAAGATGTACTTAAATCCTTTACTCAAGCAAATATATGTGACTCAGAACTTCCCTTAACCTGTTCAGACACCAAATATGTTCCACACACACAAAAAAAAAGTAAAGGGTGGGTTTCTACTCTAAATGCGCTCATAAATTAGCAAAAAAAATTTATTATGTTTTTTTTCTCTCCTGTCCATTCCAAATGATCAAATATATTCACGCAGAAATCATCAAATAGGAAAAATGACAATAAACAGTCTTTCTCGTGAATGGTTAACTCATATCAATACACAAAGTTGCATTATATATTTGCATTGTTTTCATCATCACGAATCAAAATATCCTTAATTTATAAAGCATCTGCAGAAAAGAGGATGTTGAAAACCTCCTCATATGAGTATTCTCCGAACATAATCAATAGGATGCTTTATAAACTGATTGTATCATTAGAAAATCAAATCAGAACAGTATTGCCCTACTCATTTTCCAGTGACACTCAGATCCACTGTCCACTTTAATGGGCGCATATTTAAAAAGAATCCAAAGTAAAAGCTAGAAAGCTTACTTGTAATAGTAATTTAAAATCTCATTTTTACTTTAAACACAGTTTAAACACAAATCAAGTACTTTAACAATATGATTTATTCACTGAAATGTGCCTTGTGCTTCCCTCTTGCTTCACAGTCAGCCACGCTTGTTAAAAAGTGGGTGAGGCTCATTGCAGTCCACTTTAGATAATGTTGAACACTGTGACTGGTTTATAGACATCATAAGTCTGTGCACTTATGCAGCTAGATAACATCAATCATAGATCTAGACATTCTAGAAAAGGTATGTCCATTGGGACACGAGGGGATCTGAACGGGTTCAGTAAATTTAAGCATCAACACTTAATTTTTAGCATTCTGGTGAATTTTTATTCCCCAAGTTGTGCATTTTCAGTAAAGTTCATGGTGTATATGGCTTAAATTTTGTCTCACTCATGGCTTTCTCCTTTTAAATGTTATCATCCCTCGCACTGGCTGCCAATCAGGGATTTTGATGTGTCACACACTTAAAATTCTCACTTGTGAATGGCGACAAATAAGTTCCCGGTTAAGATTTTTTTAAAATTAGAGTTAATTCAATTTCAATTTTTAGCCAGTGTTTTCCTCTTTATTAGGAAATGGGTGCATACAACTACGGAAGCGTATTGCATTCACTTGACAAATAAAAAAAGCCCTGTTTTTCTGAGTAATTTTTCCCTGTTTTTCGTGGTAATTTTTTTCTGTTTTTCAGGGTATTTTTTTCTGTTTTTTTGGTGGTAATTTTTTTCTGTTTTTCGTGGTAATTTTTTTTCCTGAACGAGGAGACGAGATACTTCAAAATCTCGCGAGAAGCTCCCACCTACAAGTGACCGGTGCCTGCGTAAAGTTGACAAACTAATGATAACACCATCTATATGACTTAAAGACAAGAGTATCTCCCAGTGTCTCAAACCCAAAACAAAGTAAAACTGGATTAAACTAAACAAGTGGGTCATGTTTGCTTCCTTTATATCGAGCTCTAAAGAAAGGAATGAAAGTGTCTGTTGTTCTATTGCTCTCTTAACATAGAAAAAAATACTCAGAAAAACAGAAAAAAATTACCCCGAAAATCAAACAAAAACCCCCACAAAAAACAGAAACAAAATTACTGGGAAAAACAGAAAAAAAAATACCACGACAAACAGAAAAAGTTACACCGAAAAACAGAAAAATAAAAAAATTACTCCGAAAAACAGAAAAAAATACTCAATAAAACAGATTTTTTTTTTAATTTGTCAAGTGAATGCAATACGCTTCTGTACATAACATACTGACACAGTCCATTAAAAAAATAATGTAACTTTCTGGAAAAGCCCTGTTGAATATTGTAGTAATAATGGGTGGTTATTACAAAATCCCAAGGCACACCTGAATTGGCATCACTGCACATGATTTGAGAATAACTGATCTAAACAATGAGGGGGACATGTTGCCTGTGTCTCCCCCCCAAATCTACATCCATGTCTAATTAGCATCAAGGTGCACTTTAGATGAGCAGGGTACTTGAAATCATTAAAAAGATTATTCCTACAAAACAGCAGAAATTAATCAGTCACTTCTTATTGTGCAACATGGGGGCTGTTGTGTGGGGGGGAAAGTAGGCCATATTTTATTATTCAGGTATCATTGGAATTAATAGGCTACTGTTTTGCTGGGGATAATGTTTCAGTTTCTGAGTCATGGGTTAATAATAATATTTCCCACCCACAGGTGTGTGTGAAGATAGATTTACCCACTATGCAGGACTTTCCTAAAAACCATGTATAGACTTAAACAGAGGTAACCCCTGCAGTCATCACCTGTGGCCTAGTTGAAGTATGTGACGGTGCCCTCTGCCTGTATTTTTCTTATTTTCTGTAGTAAGGACGTTTATGTGTGTGTATCCGACAGCAGGTGAGGTAACCGACAATCCTGTATAGTGACGTCATATTTCAAGCTAACGTTGCTGTCAGTTGAGCTAAGAGGTTAACGGCTAGTTTAGCTTCGGTTGCTAACTGTTAGCTAGCTACCATTTCAGTTAACGTTAAACCGCGGGGTTCACACTAACAACTCTGAACAAAACCGAAGTGAAAGGCTAGTTACGTAAATATAGGGGACTTACCAGACAGCTAAGTAGACACTGGTGGGTGTAGCTCAAATATGGCGACTTACCGGACGATATATCCTCCCTTTTGGCGTAGGCTAACGTTAGCCGCTTTCCCCACTACTCCAGCCCCCGGCGCTAGCTAATGCTAAGCTAACAGGTGTGTATCAGCCTGTGCATTGAACAGAAGTATGCAAGATGATATCAACATTTCCATCCAAATTCTGGTAAGAAAGTTGACAAAACACCTCAAATGTCAAAATATTAGTTACTGTAAAGCAATGAGCTATGAATTAATAAATTATTTGGTACACTTCATTAGTTAGCCACTGAAAAATGTAGTTAACTGTGTCACAAAATTACAAAACTCAAATGCCCAACACTGGCGTCAGAAGTATTCATATTAATGTAAGTTATGGCCTTTCTTATATTATAATAAATATATTTTTTGTTTTAATAATTCTGACACACTGACCTGTTGTAGGAGTATTTTAATGTTGTGACATAACAGGTACATTATGTTAGATGTGTCATTATTTGTTTTGTACATTAAACATACATACTTCATAAACTGTTTTTCAAGTGGTAAAATGAATTGTATGAGCAATAAATCATATTTTACAATCTGAAAATAATTTTTGGATTCAAATTATGATATTATAAATAAGTAATGAATAACTATGGCTGCTAAATAAATGTAAGTTGTGTGAAAAGTACAATAAATGTAGCAGAACATAAACCAATTTAAGCACAAAATGGAAGAACTGAAGTAAAGTAAGAAGAATAGAATATAACTGGCTGCTAAATAAATGTAAGTGGTGTGACAAGTATAAAAAAAAAGTAGCAGAGTTTAAAGTAATGTAAGCACAAAATGGAAAAACTGAACTAAAATAAGAAAAAAATAAACTGTAATCATAGTTTCCACAAGAGTGGAAATTTGTTTTTGGTTCATCTGAAAAATGGAAAAATACTGGATACCAGGAAATTAAATTAAAATATAGTACATGACTAAATGTAGGCTATTTTGTTATTTTCCCCCACTGCTGATGGGTGTGGACTTTGACAGCTTGACACCATCTGGCTCAAATTTAGTGAGCCTTTATTTTGTTACTGTAGAGAAGGAGTTAAAGTTGCTGTACTGTCACCAAAACCTACACGCTACATACTCCCAACATATGTGCTGTCATCAAATTGCCGCCAGGCCTATCACTGAAGCACAACCAACTTAGTTTTTGTACAATAATCTGTCTTTGATAAACTGTCTCTAATATTGTATGATTCTTCTTTTGGTAATATATCTGATCAGTTTCCCATAGCCACATGCTGTGTGAGTGACTTCAGTTTGTCTGTGGTTTTAATCTCTCTCTAACAGGATTTAATTATTGCCACAGGCAAACAGAACAGAGTTAACTTCCCCCTTAATTGGATGAAGTTATGTAGATATAAGTATGATATATTTACTACCTGGCTAACGTTGCCAAACAGGCCCTGGTAATTACACGCCCAGATAAAGAGATTTAGGTCTTGGAGAAGTTCTGTTGGACAAAGTGAAGCGATTAATGCTTAATTAAAAAGCTTTTTTACCAAGTCTGTGTGGTAATCCGCTAAGTGGGCTGTGGGGATGCGTAGGGGAATTCTGGTTCATAATAGTGTGTAGTGGAGGTCTGTTACTGTTATGTAATAGAGGGCTGAGAGCAGGCGAGATTCAGAGCCCTCCCTCACCAGATGACACGAGTTTACATGGTGGGGTCCAAAAGAAATCGATCATGACATGTGTTTAACAGTGCTTTCCTTGTACTGTGCTGTGAAAATACAGCACAACCGTGCAAAATCGTCTTGACTACCTTACACCATCTGCTTAATTGTCTTAGACTTAGGTGTCCTCCATGTAAGCAAGTTTGGTTTTAAGAAGTTCAGCTGTGTAAAACACAAAGTCACAGTCTTTCAAGCTGCCTTTTCAAAATTCTGACTAAGTTGCATTTGCCGTTTTTCAATTATGTGCTTCCTTTGCTTTGGAATAGTTTGTCTCATGGTTGCTGTTTCCTCACTCTGACAGATGTTCCAGTTATCAAGTCACCCAGTGGGTAAGTTGCCTTTGATTCCTATTACAGTATGGGGAAAATTACTAAAGGGCGGCGGAGAAAGTAAACACTCCACATCAGTGTTATGTCATTATGTCTGAGATAATGTCATGCTTACACTCCATCCAAACACGCCACAGTGGGTATGAGATACCGTGATGTTACGCCGCATCTATTTGTACAACATTTAGATGCCAGATGGCGTGTCACACCCACAGTGACGAGTGGTAATGTCAAGTAGAGAGTGATGTTGCTGATACAATTCTAGAGGGAAATCACAGGATTGCCTTATTCATTATGATGCCTACAGTATAACACGACGTGCCTTGCTTATATTGTATTATGCAGTGCCAAGATGATTTTAAGTTAAAAAGTCAGTCACCCAAGCAGGAAACAACATATTTTTTTCCACGTAACCACAGTGATATGTAGCCGTGCAATCAGTGCTAGTTTCCTCTGCTTAAGAAAGGCATCTCTAAGATTTCCACCCAATACTGGGTGCAAACTGGGGGGAAATAGAAGTTAATTTGTGATGCTCAGAGCATTAAATAATGACATTTGAAAAAAGCTAACAGCATATTCTCGTTCCAGAAATATTAGATCTTTTTCACTGCAAACATTTTGCAGGAAAAAGACAAGTGTCACTAATCACACTCATGGCTTAATTCAATTAGGTGTCTCTGTAAAGCAATTTCAGTGAGATAGGGTTTACAATATCAGGGAATCTAACCTGGGACACCCAAATGAAATGTGGTTTTAATTATTGTTATTAATAACACCTGTGCGTTTCCTGCTGTGACATGTGAAAATGTCTGCCTTGGAAAAAGCCTATGGGAACTATTTTCTACAGCAGTGGTTCTCAAACTTTTTTCAATAATGTACCACCTTTGAAATATTTCTGCCAGTCTAGTACCCTCTGACCAGCATAGAACATTGTGGGTAGAAAAAAAAAGCCTGAATATAGAGGTGCAATGCAGCTCTGCACCATCAGTGTCTGATTTACTAAACAACAACCTTACAAAAACTTAGACTAGTATTATCAGAGGACCTCATGTGATTTATAAGTTACACCCCTACATGTGTGTTAAGTGGTGCATTCTCACAGGATAAGCAGTCTGTATGTTACTGGTATTTACTGACATCATTACAGTCATTTTTAACTCCATTCTACACAACACAGAAAGACTACATGGTAATACTAGTGGTTATATACGGCGATAACCTCCTTTTTTCTTTTAAATGTGGGTTAGACAAACAGAACCAATTCTGCCACACATTGTCACGTTATCCATCTTTCGAGAGTTTGCTCATCTAATTGATTTAAGCTTGCTTTTTGGGTGTCTGTGCCTTGTTGCCAGATGAGCCTATTACACCCAAAATGCTGTCAGAGCTTTCATTTATATTTGCCAACATAGCCTCTGTAATTCTAGACAGGGACAGAGGCAGAAACAATGCACAGTGAAGCACAGAAAGCCTAAATACGACTCCAAATCATAGAGATGCCGATTAGTTTGGATACTGATATTATCGCATGACCTCTGTGTTTTACAGAATTTAGTTGGAAATTTGTGGTGTTATTTTATTTAACGAATTACGAACGTGGCAGATTTGTATGGGATTAAGATCACTGATCACCTCTGTAATTATTAAAAATTACTAGAGGTCCCACGTAATACTAGTTCCGGGTGAATAATATTTTGTAAATTAGCATTTAAAGAAAATTTACCCCCTGCATTACTCCAAAATACCCCTAGGGGTAGACGCACCCCCATTTCAGAAATACTGCTCTAAAGTAAATGGATTATCAAGCTTCTGGAGAGACATATTTCTGTTTAGTTTTTCAAATGTCATTTTGTAGTGCTTTGAGTAGCACAAATGAAATCTCATTCATCTTCATTGTATTTGGGTGGTGGCGCAAGTTTACAAGCCCTGCGCACTTATCAAACACCCACTCAAGTGATTCCAATTATCTAGGCTGGTTAGACCCCTCTCCAGGCCTGTGTGGGCGTGTTTGACTGTGTGAGTGACAGCTCCCTCATCTCCTGTTAGCTTTGCTGCACGTGCTAGGGTGGGACAAATAATTACACTTTTATCGTTCTTAATAGTACATGGACCTCACATAATTCCCCAGCACGGGTCCGCCCACCTTCAACTCGAGCAGTCGTCTTATCACACAGATTAAGTGAAAACACCTGGCTGTGTGGGTGTGTTGAGCCTTTAAAAGACGAATATCTCAAAAACTTTGCACATTAAACAAACTGCATGGTTCTACACTGTTGGGGTGAACATTTATTTCATTTACTGATTTGGGTGAAATGACATCTAAAACTTGTAGAATTTAGGAATGAGCGGTCCCACATCAACATTTGGAAACATTAAAGCAGACATGTTCATTTTCAGGTTCATACTTGTGTTTTGGGTTTCTACTGGAATGTGTTTACATGCTTTAACGTTCAAAAACACTTTATTTTTCTCATACTGCCTGTGCTGGAATGCATGTACTCACCCTCTGTCTGAGGAGCTTCGTTTTGGTGCCTGTCTCTTTAAGCCCCCCTCTGAAAAGGCCCAATCTGCTAGCATTTCCGCAGTCTTTCACATCTCAGCATCTCTGTATTGTGGCTGCAGGCAGGGGCTGCACAACTGACACAACTAGACAAGTTCCAGTTACACCACCACCAGCAGCCTGAACCATTGATTCAAGGCAGGATGGATCCATGCTTTCATGTTGTTTACACCACATTCTGACCCTACCATCTGAATGTGGCAGCAGAAATCCAGACTCATCAGACCAGGGAACATTTTTCCAATCTTCTATTGTCCAGTTTTGGTGAGCCTGTGTGAACTGTAGCCTCAGTTTCCTGTTGTTAGCTGACAGGAGTGGCACCTGGTGTGGTCTTCTGCTGCTGTAGCCCATCTGCTTCAAGGTTGGACGTGTTGTTGGTTCAGAGATGGTCTTCTGCAGACCTTGGTTGTAATGAGTGGTTATTTGAGTTACTGTTGCCTTTCTATCATCTTGAGCCAGTCTGGCCATTCTCCTCTGACCCCTGGCGTCAACAAGGCATTTTCACCCAGAGAACTGCTGCTCACTGGATATTTTCTATTATTCAGAACGTCCTCTGTAAACCCTAGAGAGGGTTGTGTGTGGAAATCCCAGTAGATTTCTGAAATATTCAGACCAGCCCGTCTGGCACCAACAACCATGTGACGTTCAAAATCACTTAAATCACCTTTCCTCCCCGTTCTGATGCTCGGTTTAAACTTCAGCAGGTCGTCATGACCATGTCTACAAGCCTAAATGCATTGAGTTGCTGCCACATGATTGGCTGATAAAGTATTTGCATTAACAAGCAGATGAACAGGTGTACCTACTAAAGTGGCCAGTGAGTGTGTCTACATATACTTATATATCTATATCTATATCTCTATATATATATACATATATATATATATATATGTGTGTGTGTGTGACAGACAATAAGGACAAGCATCATATGTCCCTTTAAAATCCAACTGGTATTCCGAGGCTGTATTATTGGAAATGTGAATTGAACTGTAGTCTCGGTATACAGTTCTGGCTGAGTAGATGTATGAGTGAAATGACCCCAGACCTGGTGCAGTCAGACATCTTTCATACAATCAAGAAGGCAGTTTGCTTCAAGGCCCCAGCACAGTAAATGATAATGTGATAGTTTATTGATTCCTCTACTGCAACTGTCTTTTGCCTGCTCTCTCCACGAGGAGGTCGGCAGTCAAAGTCACCTACAGAACAGCAGCCCTGGAGCTGATAGACAGAGTCAGTTTTTTCCAAAGCATACTTTAGCTTGCTTGAACCGAGTCAGGGCATTTGAAAGAATGGAATCTCAGCAATCAATAGAGTATAAAACAAAATGAAATGAAGGCTGTTATACAGTTTTTAGCTGTGAAACTTATACCATCTTTATACAGGGAGAGCACATCTGAACTGCTAGAACCACCAGACATCGATAAAATGTGAATAAAAACATATTTATACACTTGAGTATCACTATACTATGTTTTGTCATGCTGTATCATCTCCCAGAAAACACTGTCAGTTTAATTTACATGCAAAGATTAGTGGTTAATTTTTTGTTGTGTTTAAACCCCCAAATCACAAGATTCTTATGTGTTGTAATCTCTCGTGAGCCATTTGACTCTTCCACGCCAACCTAACATGTTGCTGGCAAAGAACACAGGCCTTTGAAACAGGCAGAGTCATAATGGGCACAGGGCTAGCATTTATAGTTTTCAGTAAGATAATTATGAAATGCCTGTTTTAAAATGTGTACTATATTCAGTGTTCAACTCTTTTTCTCTTGGTTTCTCTATGCCTCACTGTATTGTTGTAGCATATCACAGAACAACATGCTAGCATATGTCAGACGCTGTACATAATTACCCATGGAGCTCTGACTCCTGCAGGAAAGATGTCTGCACTTGTTAGCAAGAAGAATACAAATGTGCCTATTGGGCTATTCCTTGGCTGTAAACCAAACAAAATGGAGAGCCAGAAAATGTGAATGAAGTGATTTGTAAGCTTTGCATTAACCATTCTGAACTTAAGATGGAAATGCCTCAATTTTTTGCTTCCATCTTGAGACTCACCGTCCAACAGAATATGCAAGTCCGCCACCGACTGTCACCCATGGCAACAACGAGCATGGCTGAAAGCAAAATTATTACTCACTCCACAGTGGTTCCAAAAAGAGGAGCAGCTTCAGTAGTGTGGAATAAACTGTGGTGTCCTGAATGTTTTATGAACAGCCCCGGACTTCTCAGACTCTTTTAGTGAGTTACCGCTCAGAGGGAACTTATTCAGCGGCTCCTCTGGCAGCAGCGCAGCATCTCTCCCTCTCCTTTCTTGCCATGTGCACACAGGAGTCGGTGTCGTCAAGTGATTTTGTCATAAAACTCATAAAAATGTAAATCTACTTGACCCTCGCTGCTCAACAAAATGATATTTGTGAATATGCCCTAGTTATAGT